CTCGATTTGCTCTTGGAGCAGCATGGGAAAGATGCCTTTGACCACCTTCGCAGAAACCACAGTCAAGCATGTCCAACGTCTTGTCTGCGTACTTGGAGGCGGCGGCGCATCGCGCGCGTGAGCTCGTCGTGCGAAATGAGACCGTCGCCGGTCGTGTCGATGACGTGAAAGAGAAAGTTGGACTTCTCTTCGAGGGACCCGTGCAGCGTCAAGTAGAGCCCAATCTAAATACACGCAACTCATAGACGCCAAGCGGAGACGCACACATACGGCAAACTCATCAAACGTAATCCAGTCGCGCGTGCGTCGCGGGTCGTCGCTGCCGTGAAACATGAACGTAGAAAAGAGCGCCGAGGCCAGCGCTACATCCATGTATCTCAATTCTCAACGTTCTCGACAGTCCACGAAGCCGAATACCCGAATTCTTGTTTTGGCAGATGCGACCAAAGTCATCGCGGGCCGGCGACGCCTGCACCCACGACGACGCTTGCAGACCTTGGCACGCCAGAATGAACGCGTCCAAATGCAGCTCCTTGCCATTTGCGGTTGCGTGCGCCTTGTACACGCTGTCCAAGTTGGCCAAGTCGGTGGTGGTCATCTTGCCTTCAAGAAACCCCGGCGAGGCGACCGAGGGCGGCGCCAAGCGCTGCGCGTTCTGGAGCTTTTGCGTGCGCCCAATGAACGCGTTGAGCTGTGTGCGCGCCACGTCATCGAAAAAGAGGCGCAGCGCTTGCGAGTGCAGAATGCTCGCGACTTCAAAGGTCACGCGGAAGTTGACTTCGCACGACGTCGGCGAGACCTCGCGGAAGCTCCACTCGCTAGCACCCGCGCCATGAGCAATGGGCCATGGTCGACATGATAAAACCTACCTCTCGATGGACTTGAACGTGGGCGACTCGATGGACGTGATGAGGATCTTGTGCGGCGCGTGCATGAGCACGCGGGATCGATACGTCTCGGTGAAGATCTGAAAGCCGACCGTGAGATCGGCCTCCATGACGTTGTCGTTTGGGCGGCGCACGACGCGCGACGAGACGCAGAACGGCAGGAACGACGCGTACGCGTCGACGTTGGCGACGACGTCGTACATCTCGCGGCACGAAAAAGGCACAACGCGCTTCTCCGTGTGCGACTTGAGCAGCGCAGATGCCGGCGAAAAGAGCATTTTGGGCAGCGAGAGGAAGGACCGGCGGCTGGGCATGGCGGGAAGGCGGCGCGGTCCGGCCAAGTACGGGCGCAGCAGCATCAGTTGTATCAGGCGCAGCCGGTGCTACAACGTCGTGTGCCAACGGGACTTCACACTAAAATGGCGTCTAAAAATACCTTGTACAGTATTTAACGGCGCAAGCGATGTGGAACACCATTTCATGTAATACATTATTTATCTGTCAATTCAGCACTACATATAGTGATGGTGCTAAAAATGGTGTATGAAGAAGAGCCTTTGCAATCTGCCTTTGCACGCATCGAGCCAGGACTGCTCGTTGTAGTAAAGCGCCAGACGGCTGTGTGAACCGAGATTTCGTCAAAGATGTATATGAGAACGATGCTGGTCGCACTTGCGTACGCAGGATTGCTGCAAGCGCACTCGCTGCGCCCGCCGGTATGTACCCGCGAATGAGTCGAGGATACGGAGATGTGATCCATGCCTGTGTGTAGCCATGTGCCGCCGATGTCAAGCTCTGCAATGACGGCATGTGGATGTATCGTGATATTAAGAGCAATTGCACGTTTGCAGCGTGTGCTGACGAGCCCGGTGGCCAAGTGCCGCTTGAGCACAAGCCATCGCAAGCTCCGGTGACGTAGAGGCTAGGGCTAAGACCGCCCAGCTCTCGCCATAGTTGAATCGATGTCAAATTGGGAGAATAATGAATCCGAATCAGTCGTTGCGAGGCCGGTACCCAAGCTTCTTGCAGCTGCACGCGACAATTTACCCTTCTGCATGCGCGCACTGGTTGGTTTAATCGAGGGATATACGAGCAGCCAGCCACCTCACACATGCTTGAATGTCGCGACGATCTTGCGAATCTTGCGAGCGCCACCCACGGTCGCCACTGAGCGGTCCCACTGGCGTAGGTCCTGACGTGTCTCCTAGAGCTCCTCGGACGCACATACTCACATGCGATCGCCTGAAATGCCGTCATGACAGGCGCACAAGTGCAAAGTCGATCTCAGGAGCATTTTCGGGCGCGCGGGGAGAAACGAAGCCGCAGCTACTACGACGCGGCAAGCGTCTAGTGCGTTTTTTTGGCCTCGACAAAGATCGGCAACGGACCAGCGTTGGGTGACCGTAAGCTCCAGCTGGCGTGTCCGTGGACCCAACTTGGGGTCATTTCATATAATTATCCATGGTTTTGTATGGAAACGCGTCCATTTAAATAGCTTCAACCTTGTGGCGCCCCTTGGCTGTACCTTCCACGACCTGTAACGCTCTGCCGTTTTTTCGAATGAAACGGCGTTTGATCGGTCCACGCGTGCGTGCCATCTGGCTGTATAAAACAGTGCACATTTGATGTTTGTATGGCATGGACATCCAGTGTGTTTCAAACGTCCAGATGGCCGGTCGAAACCGACGCGTTGGTTTCAATCTGACGTTTCGTCGTGCTCCGTGGAGCTCTTTATGACGGCCGCTCATTGGTGCAAACCGGGTGCGTTTCCAGTTGTGATTGGCGCGAGCCACTTTTTCACCACAGTTT